GGAAACTTCAAGGAGTGGATTTTGTCGTGGGGTGTGTTAGGTTTTCTGTTTTGAGAGTTTGTTGGTAAGATATTTTCATGAAATTTCAGTTTTCGAGATCATTCATTGGTGGTGAAATATCCGATACGTGAAAGGAAAGGAAAGGGGTGAATTTTGCTCGGACATGGGAGGCAATCAAGGGGTAAAGAAGGTAATTCCTCAGGTTTGAGGGATTGACTCTGTCAGATGGAGGAAGAGATGGAGTTGCGGGTCGCAGGAAATCCAAATTTGCGTGAGAAATTTTGTTTTCTAATAATTGTTGGCGACACGCCCGCCTGTTCCGACGATTCCGCACGTGCTTGACGGCTGATTCCCTTCGTTTATAACTGAGAATGCGCAAATCCATTAAAATTTATTTGTTTGTTGTAAATTATTTAATTATTGATAACCACGCTGGAAGTCAACTTGACCAAGTTTCTCGATTGCTTGTGGACGATTTTATGGATTTGTTTATTTATCGTAATAAGAAATGCGGGTCTGGACGCTGACGTTAATCAGCTAACCCAAAGTAGCGGGAATGGAAATGATACGGGTCTGGACGCTGACGTTAATCAGCTAACCCGAAGTAGCGGGAATGGAAGTGATACGGGTTTAGACGCTGACGTTAATCAGGTAACCCAAAATACCGATGGTGAAAATGTAGATTAAAAGACTTAAAAAGTTAAATTGAAGGGTAGAAATACGTCCAGGAATTCGAGAGTTTGAAGAGAAGACTTCCGTTCAAATAAAAAAAAGAATTAATAAAGAATAATCTAACTTATTAGTACTTGATACGAAGTATTGCTGTGCTTCGTACGGTCTGGATTAGAGTAAATCCGTTAAGGCCCTGCACCCTCGTAGAGGCTTCGTTGGAACTTGGTAGGTTTGGTCTTTCTGTAATGATGCACACAAAACTTAACAAAGCACACGCTACTGAACTTAAACTGCACGCAATAAACGTTTGATTCGATATTGGACCCGCAAAAACATAAAGAAAAAGCTGGTAGTCAGTAAACGAAAAATACTGACTGGAACTGGAATTGGAGCTGAACTGACGAAAAGTCGCGTATTATATGTATGAGAAACTTTAAGAGGTAAATTTTGTTGATGGATGTATTTAATTTTTCTGTTCAGTTTTTCTGTTCTGAGGGTTTTTGTTGGTAGAATAATGGTAATGGTTTTCACCCAAAATGTACATTTAAATTTTTAAAATTATTTATTGGTGAGCAATGTGGGAGCATCATCGCCTATTGTATAATTTTGATTTGGCGAAAAACTGAGTGAGTCACTGGAAAAAGAGCTTGCGCCCTCAGAATTCAATGGTGGGAGCTTTTTGACAAAACTCGCCAATAAACAGCCGTAAAAATCATTGTACCTAGCTCGTCAAGAGATAGGCAAAAACTCAAATCTACATCCTGGGTAAAAAAACATTGCCTACCAACTAAAATCGTCAGAATAGTAACTAACAACACATCCTACAATAAAGTCCACCCCTTAAACTTTCCTATATAAACCCTGACATTGCGGGATTTGCTTTCTTGAGCTTTAGTCTCTTCTCAGCTTCAGTCAACCTCGATATTTTTAAATCATAATCTCTTCTGCTGCTTGAGTTTCGAGTTAGAATCTGTGCGCGAAATCTAACCCACAACGCGGCTACATCCACATCATGAAGGGCCCGCTATCCGATTCGTAAATTCCAAAGATATGGATATCAAGGAAGTCATTAAGTGTAGCGAGTTCCATTTATTCCTTTTTCTTTTTATCTCTTTATTTAAAGGTAGTCTATCGACTGTAGGATCCCCGAGAGTTCATTAATTAAATACGGGTTTATTTCGCGGATTTATGTCAACATTTGAGCTCTTGACGTTCTCGTTTTCGCCATCGCGGATTTTGGGTCGATCGGCGCCGCGGCGCGGCGTAGGCATTGGGGTCGTTGACGTTGTCGGGTCTGACTGACTTGTCGGCCTCTGACTCCCGGATTTTTTGCAAGTCAGATAAAGAATATGTTTTCATGTAAAACTTAACCGATCTCTTTTTATGCTAAGAGCAATATATAAAGCAATAAATTTTCTGAAATGCGATAATAAATCCCTCTAGTTATATGATGAAATATAGCATTACTAGAGGAATTTTCAATAAAGAATATTTTGTAAGTCCTTCAGTAAAAGAATGTGTTTTCGTCGCTGTCGCGAATTCGGCCGGTTCGCTGTCACCTTGGGCTCGTGACAATTTCTTTTGTTCGTTAAATACTCCGGATCTGGGAAAGATCAACCACTGTCATATCAATCAACCCGTTATAAGTAAAATTATTTTAGTGGACCCGGAAGTTCCACTCCCTCAAAAACGAAATCTCCACGCGATCATCAAGCGTAGGAGGAATCGTCGAAAGCGAGTACTAGAATTTCTCCGCCCAATTTTTTTGCGGTGCAAAGTTTACAAACAACCCCAAAGAAAATATTGGTGTTTTTCCAAAATTCACAATGGATAACAAATTACCCAACCTAAATTACCCACCTTAAGCTGCAAGACAACAACAACCAAAAGTGTACTTGAGAAAACTTGAGAATACAAATGCTGTATTGTAAAGCAACCCAAAGAAAACCCCCCTGGAAATCCAGGACCTAAATATTTGTAAGAAATGAAGGAACAGCAAAAATCTAACCGATCCTTTTTTATGCTGGGCATCGACGCGTTGATCGACGAGATGATGATAAACAAGGAAAAAGAAGAAGAAGTTTGAAACGCTGTTATTCTTATTTCTGACTATTTAATTAATGACAAACGCATCTAGACTGTCACGATCATTAATGTTTATTACAATTTTTGTCACATTTCTTCACAAAATAATTTTGAGTAAAAAATGCGTGATGTTTTACAAATGTAATACAAAACAGAATCATGTTCTTTGTAGCTGCACTGCGTTATAATAATTAACTCTGCGTTTCCATAGTAAAACGAATTTGGCTAAAAAAAGACATTAAAAATCATAAAAAACGTAAAAAAAAATCAAGTATAAATTTTTACGCAAAATTGTATAAATGATATTAAGCAAAATTAGAAATTTGCACTTGACTTTCTCATCAAATTGAGATGTGCGATGTGGAAATTTGCACATAGCAAAGTCACAATTTTGAAATGAGAGAGTAGGAAATTAGCAAATTGAATCCACAACGTATTGCTACGCGCTCAAAGCTCCTCTATGAGGAATCTTGTATTTTATTAGATGCATAATTTTTAGTTTAGCTTCCTCATAGAGGAAGCTTTTTGCGCGTAGCAATACGTACGTTGTGGATTCAATTTGCTAATTTCCTACTCTCTTATTTGATGTTGCGCCGGTAATTTTTTTCCGTCATTTAAAATAGAATTAAAAATCCCAAAAAATCCAAAAAAATTGAAATTCTAAGACAAAACATTTTTTAAACGTACTAGCTTGCATTTTTTGCTTCTATATATACCATAATCCAATTTACTTACAAATCTCATAATAAGGAACAGAAATATTGAATTATGTTACGTACATTGTGTTACACTGTGTTAATTTTGGTCTACATCGAAAATTTGAAGCGTTACTTACATGAGACAATTTGAACTTTTTGCGCAAATGTGCGCCTAAGCAATTTAGATGCGGAAAACTATATAACCAGGGCTGCGTTCAAAAATTCAATCTGAATAACTAAGCTATAGTTTACGTCTCTACGTACACTATAGCATTAGAGTTACCTAGGTAAATAAGTTAAAGACAATAAAAAATATTAATAAAAGTTTAAGTTATGTTAATAAGCATGCAAATTTAATATTAGATTTAAAAAATTAGAATTATTATTTGAGAACTTAAGTAGGTTTGCTTGTTTGAACGTAGTAGAAAACTAACACTAATATTACATAACAATATAAACATATAATAATAAAAGTAAACATAAAAATAATACATATAATAATAAAAGTAAACATAATAATAAGTAATAAGTATATGACTTTTCCCGCAATTAATAATATACCCCCTTGCCCCTCAATGTTTTTATAGTTTTAAATTTGGTCACTGGCTAAGCAAAACATTATTTTCCGTATGTAATATATGTATGTAAAATTTTAGGTAGATATCTTAAATTTTAATCGCCGGTTTTTATATCCATAAAATCGGTCGCTGATGCGCAACACTGTGCGGCGTGATTATACGGCTCACGAAATTTGCAAATAGAACGTGCGTAGTAAGCGTAGTTACGCAATGCACTCTTCGCGGACAATCTGTTCATATTCCAAGGCCATCAGCCGGTAGAGCTTTTTGGGAGTTAGGGTTTTCGGCGTAGCCTCTTATGACGGACTGACGGTCATCGTTCCCCTACTACGCAATAACTCAATGTCAATCGCGACATCAGCGACCGATATGTCTGAAAAGTTACCGCAATATTTATCAAAAAACAGTTTCAGAAAAATTAACTTAATACTATAGGAGAGGGAGAGATCAAATTTCTCCTCCCTCTCTCTAGGACTAACTCGGCATAACAAATCTAAATGAATGTAACGTCATAAAAGAGATTTCTAATCTTGAATAAAATGGGGATTCTCTTGGCATCGATTGACTTTTCGCATCAAAAAAAATTATATTACGAGCAACAACAAGTCCTCTCGATCGAACGATCGGGTCGAAAAATCACGAAGCGCAAAGTTCCGTCTATATAAGGAATCTTGTATTTTATTTAAAAAAATTGAAATTCTAAGACACAAAACATTTTTTAAACGTACTAGCTTGTATTTTTTGCTTCTATATATACCATAATCCAAATAATTACAAATCTCATAATAAGGAACAGAAATATTGAATTATGCAACGTCTCGTCCGGATGGATATATGTGTAGTGCGCCCTCTGCGCAGTTACCAACAGGCGATTTTAAAGATTCTAAAAACGCGCGTTTTTCTCGGTTCGCGCGCGAGTCGAGCGTCACCTCCCCGCCGTAGCGCTTCATTGCTTTTCCTGTTGTGCGTTCATCAACAGTGCGATTATTTTCTTTGCAAGATTTCGGTTATTTATCGAGTAAAAATGGGCAAGTCCATGCATAAATCGAGGAAGAGGAGGAGGTCATCGTCATCCAAGCATCGTGATCGCATTGAGGGTCTGGAAAACAAGATATCGCAGTTGATCGAGGTATTATCGAGGAGAGAGGTTGGATGTCCACATGTCGAGTCTTTATCGCCGACCGTGTCCTCGGCTCTCGCATGTCACACTGACCAAGAGTCGGATGCGGAGAGACCTTCTGACGACATCATTAGGGAGGACAGTCCCGGTCGAGCGAAATCTGCCTCTCAGGTGGCAGAAATGGCAAATCCTGCTAGACAGGTTAGGCCAGAGGATCCGCACGTTACAGGTGTGTACGTTCATCCCAGTTCTGTAATACAGACCGAGGAGTCGACACAACCTTTTCCGATTAATCGGAATACCTTTTCTTCTGTTGTAGCGGCGGTAAGTAACCTGCCAGACGATGGCTTGCCCACGTCCCCCCCGAGCAAGACGATAGTTTTGTCGGAGCCCGCTGCAGCAGAGGATTCGGCGGATACCTTAACTAGAGAGCTCTTCGGTGCCATAGGACAAATAGCAGAGACACAATCTTGGAACGACCTTGTTGTCCAGCAGTTGCGTGAGTTAATGCGGAAAGGCCTTCCCGCGGACCAGCGAGAAGCTCTGTTAAAGAAGTACTCTCCACCGGAGGAGGGAGAATTAGATTTCCTCAAGGCTCCTAAACTAAACATAGAGTGCAAATCGGCTCTGAAAAATAATGCTGTAGTCAAGAGAGATGAGTATGGCAGTGTTAATCACCATCAGGTTGGCTCCGCCCTCCTTGCTTTCGGAGAGGCATTGTCGGATCTTCTCAAACCGGAGACGCAAAGCTCCCTCAACGCCGAGGCTCGTGCTGCAATCGGTAAATTCAACGAAGGAATTAAGATCATAGCAGACCTATTCTATCGTCTTTCCTTGTCTAGACGGGCTCTTGTCAAGCCGACATTTAATATTATGGCCAAGAACACAGCCGATGCCATTCCGGTAGATAATTTATTGTTTGGCGCTTCGTTCGGTGAAGAAATTAAGAAGGCAGCCTCAATGGAGAAGTCGTCCAAGGACATTGTCAATGCGTCATTAACGCTCTCAAAAAAGACTCAGCAGCCAATTAAACGCCCGCTACAGACTGCACCCGTTAGGTCGGGAAATGCACGTGCCCCTGTATCGAGATCGAGACAGTTGGCGACAAGGAGAACAGGGGCGTCGAGCAGCAGTCACCAGTCGTCGCACCGCTACAGGCCCCGCTACAGGTCCCGTTCCAGGAGGCGTTAGAGGAAAATCAGGTAACCGTGGGCGGCAGGCTATCAGGCTTTTTATCCAAATGGAAGGAAATTACATCCGATCCAGTGATTCTCCAAGCGATAACAGGTTATAAGCTTCCCTTTAAGCACCATCCACCACATCAGGAGTTTGAACCCTCTATCCACTTATCAGACAGAGAGATGCAAATTTGTCGTCAGGAGATAGATAATCTCTATGCTAAGGGCGCTATTGAACCTGTGTCAGATTGCGAGGGACAATTTTTGTCACCATATTTTGTCATTAAAAAACATTCGGGGGGTTGGAGATTCATTCTTAATCTTAAGCGGCTCAATGAATATATCATTGCCTCGCATTTTAAACTAGAGAATTGGAAGACGGTAGTTCAGCTCTTTTCCCCGGGTGATTTTCTCGCGTCAATTGACATACAGGACGCATATTTGCATATTCCGATCTGTCCAGAGGATAGGAAGTATCTCCGTTTTCGGTTTCAGGGTCAACTTTATCAATTTAAAGCCTTACCGTTTGGGCTCGCTTCAGCCCCTTTTATTTTTACTAAGTCCTTGAAACCTGCGATATCGTATCTAAGAGAGAAAGAATTCTTTTTAGTCGCTTTTCTAGATGATTTTCTGATAATTGCACCCTCATACGAGGCATGTTTACGTAATATTTTCGAAACATCGAATCTTCTATCTTCGCTGGGATTTTTAATAAACGAACGGAAAAGTGTATTTTCTTCTTCTACATCCTGTCTTTACTTAGGTTTCATCTTTGACTCTATTTATTTTTCAGTTTCTATTCCTTCAGAAAAAAGGGAAAAATTGCTAAAATTAACGCTGTCTTTCTTGGATAAGAAGTCGTGTACTATTCGAGAGTTCGCAAGTTTCATTGGCTCATTAATTTCGATCTGCCCAGCGGTCCAATATGGGATTTTACATACCAAGATTTTGGAAAGGGTTAAATTTCATGCTCTGATAGATGCAAACGACAATTTTGAAGCGCGGATGACGCTTCCTTCTTCCATTAAAGAGGATCTTTTGTGGTGGAAAGATGTTTTTGCTGACACCTCTCAGCGTAATGTTATTCGTTCTGGCATCTTTACTCGGGAAATTTTCACCGACGCCTCGCTAACCGGATGGGGTGCTGTCTGCGGGGAGAACCGCACACACGGGTTCTGGTCAGCGGAGGACAAGCTCAATCACATCAACTACCTGGAACTTCTGGTTATATTTCATGCCTTGAAATGTTTTGCATTTGATTTAAAGCATTGCAACATTCTATTAAAAGTGGACAATGCAATAGCTCTCTCTTACGTGAACCGCATGGGATCGATTAAATTTCCCCACTTGTCGGACCTCGCCAGAAGAATCTGGTGCTGGTGTGCAGAACGTGACCTTTTCATCTACGCTTTGTATATTCCCTCTGCCCAGAATTTTGAGGCAGATGCAGAATCTCGAACCATTTCTGAAGAAACAGAGTGGTCGTTAGAGCAAAGTTATTTTGATAGGATTAATATGATTTTCGGTCCATTTGATATTGATTTATTCGCCGCATCTATCAATGCGAAATGTTCCCGTTTTGTATCTTGGTTTCCGGATCCGGAAGCTTTCTCAGTGGATGCTTTCTCTTTAGATTGGAGCAAATTTTATTTTTACGCCTTTCCCCCGTTTATTTTAATTTTAAAGGTTTTACGAAAAATTATCACGGACAGAGCGGAGGGAGTTATAGTGGTTCCATGGTGGCCAGCACAACCCTGGTTCCCGCTTTTTTGCCGCTTAATTATTAATCAACCTGTGTATTTTGAACCGGACATTCACATGTTGTCATCTCCTTTTAGGGAAATTCACCCAGTCTGGAGCAAGATACGCCTGGCTGTCGCGAGATTATCCGGCAGGCCTTCCTAGTCAGAGGTACACCCACGGTTGCATTGAGCGCGATAACTCGCATCTATTTCAGACGCTACGATGGCTCAATATGCTAAGCCAATTAGACTGTGGTGGCTCTTCTGTAAACAGAAACAAATTGATTGCTTCCGCCCGTCCGTTTCAGTATTTTTGGAATTTTTATCTTTGCTGCTACCGGAGCTTCGTTCTTACTCAACTCTGAACACGTATCGGTCAGCCATTTCTCTTCTTTCTGCAGAAGAAATAGGCTTACACCCGCTGGTGAGAAGATTTTTTAAGGGATTGGCGGCGCTGAAACCACAGCGTCCTCGATACAATTTTATTTGGGATCCGGCGCAGGTGATTACCCATTTATCTACATTATACCCCCACGAGGATCTCTCTTTGGAAATCCTCTCTAGAAAACTGGTAACGCTTCTCGCGCTCACGACTGCGCAAAGGATGCAAACGCTAGCAGCTATACAACTTTCAAACATCACAATTACCGACACCTTGGTCATCAAAATTCCAGCGAGGCTCAAGACTTCGAAGATTGGAAGACCGCAACCCTTGCTCATCTTTAAACCATTTGCGGACAGACCAAACCTATGCGTCCTTTCATTGGTGAAATTTTATTTAGACCGTACAAAGGAACTTAGAAGCAGAAAGGACGACTCGCTCTTTATCGCTACTCGCCCTCCACATGGCCCAGTTTCATCCCAAACTCTGGGCCGTTGGGTTAAAACGGAGTTGAGCGCAGCAGGTATAGACCCCTCTATATTCTCGGCTCACTCCACTCGCCATGCCTCGACATCATTAGCGGCCAGTAAGGGCATCAGTTTGGACGAAATTCGGCGAACTGCAGGATGGACCAAATCTTCGGAAGTTTTCGCCCGTTTCTATAATTGCCCTATCGTCGAAGACCCTACTTTCTGTTCTACTATACTTAATACGGGTTAACATATTAATTGTCCTTGTATTATCCAGTGCATAATTAAAATTCTGCTTTGTAAACAGAATCTCGGAGGCAAATCTGAGCTTTAAATATCTACACATATATCCATCCGGACGAGACGTTGCATAATTAATAAGTTGAACGAACTTACCTTAAGTGAAGTTCGACTGTAATTATGCTGTCTCGTCCGGATGGATAGTCCCACCCTCCCAATCCCCGATTTCAGATTTGCAGCTTTAAAAGTATGAAGCGCTACGGCGGGGAGGTGACGCTCGACTCGCGCGCGAACCGAGAAAAACGCGCGTTTTTAGAATCTTTAAAATCGCCTGTTGGTAACTGCGCAGAGGGCGCACTACACATATATCCATTCGGACGAGACAGCATAATTACAGTCGAACTTCACTTAAGGTAAGTTTGTTCAACTTATTAATTATGTTACGTACATTGTGTTACACTGTGTTAATTTTGGTCTATATCGAAAATTTGAAGCGTTACTTACATGAGACAATTTGAACGCGATTGCCGCCCGATATCGATAGCGCGGTGCGCTTGCGAGATCCAAATTTCGCGAGCAGATAAGAGTGGTCGTCGATTTAATTAAAAGTGTGCTAACGAGCGAATATATCAGTTAATCCAACTGTTTTAAATATTTACTTGTGGGTGCAAAAAAAAATATTATATTATGGATCTGAGTAGAATTTTTACATTGTATATTACGTAAAACATTTTAATTTAAAGAGACTACGATCCCATGTTGTTCTTCTGAGAACAACTTTATTTACTGCGTACATATGACTCGACGACCTCATATCTAGGTTTTTTAATATTTTTAGAATTATTTTCTGCAAAGATAAAAAATAAAATTTCAATACATGAGATTACATGTAGTGGTCGCGTGTACCCCTACCAAAGATAGCGCTACACTAAAGCCTCTTGCACATCAATAGGCAATAGCGATAGCGATAGCGACAGCGACAAGGTTGCCGACAAAGCTATACTTTCGCTGTCGCTATCGCCTATTGTGCAAGGGGCTTAATTAACCGCGTTTTCTCGCGAGCGCTCGACCGCGCCGACTTAAATAAACAAATTCGACAACAATATTCATTGTCCCGATCGACGCTCTCACCGACGATCTTGTCGGACGATATAAGCTATAGGCAGACATGTACATGTGGAGAGTCATATCATCGTGACCCGCAGAGAGTTGCACGGTATTGTTGGGGACTCATATTCCACACATCCAGCCATACACTACTACTCTCCACAACTACATATGTTATCCCCAAAATACATTTTGAATACTTACAAGAAGTACAGATAAATTCTTGCAGTGACTTCTTCTTAATTACTGATGGCAGTTTGATATCATCTCTTGTATTATACTTTGTATTATTCAAATGGTAATTCCTGTGATATTTCTTATCCTTAGAAGATATATCGCTGTAAAAAATATTAATACAAATTAATTTTAATTATCAAGGGTGAGGATATTCATGAAATGCTAAAATTTGTGTGTACGTATGTATACGCATGTATGTACGTATGTGCGTATGTACATATGTATGTACGTATGTATAATGGTTGGGATTCGATGAATCGCACAACTCTTAGATACACATATGAATAATGGGTACGTTCCACTTATCGCTCGCATCGCTCGTGGAATCATTTCATCCTTGTTGTTTGTCAAATGTTACAAGAACGAAATGATGCTCGCGAGCGTTGTGAGCGATAAGTGGAACGCAGCCAGTGATTTAATTCATGCAGACCGTATTTTTGAAACATATGAAGAAATAAACTATGTAAAAAATTGGACTTAGGGCGAAAATGTACATACGCCCTGCGAGTCGATAGTAAAAAAAGACACTAAAAAACGAAAGGTGTCAAAAGCCGCATCATGGCGCGTGCCATTACGTTCGACGACTACACGCGTTGTCTGAACAA